ATTGTGTTCCGACTGGGGGCTCTAACCTAGAACCCTACGAGGCGTAAGAAAAGTAACGAGTAATCAGGGCAACAACAAGGTGAAATAGACTGCCCACTTCCAGCTTATTGGCCCTCGTCAGCTAACCTGATGTGTTAATCTGAGTCTTGTCCATCGTTGAGTTTGACCAACTAGCAGGTGCGTAGTGATTCCTTGCTTTATTCATTGCAACCGGCAATATGCACGGCTACCTGAAGGTGATGTTCACCGATTCCCTGTAAGAGGCATATTAGGAAGGATGCCTTTATAGTACGACTCAGAATTAGAAGAACAATGTACCCTGCCAATTTTCAACCATCTATTCCACAAACGTCAAGGTGCCACGAGAGTTCGCGAGCAAACTATTAGGAGCAACGTCGTGCGTAATCAATCTAAATATACCTTCTACCTCTCATACTCATCCAGGGGTCAAGCTATTTCACTAAATGGAAGAAAAATGGTCGCAATGGTCGAAGGTACTCAAGGCTTCACTCAGACAGGCCGACGGGTGCCCCAGTGACACCCAATTTCGGGAGGCAAAACCAGCAAAGAACATACCGATGGCCTCTTCGAAGGCAAATATTACTTCCGTGCCGGGGTTTTTGGTCATAAGATCATAAGCCTTGTTGGCGATCCATTTGAACCCAGTTAGAGTCTCCTCAAAGTTGAAGCCTTCCTTCTGAGCGATTGAGCGGAGAATTTTCGAGGACACTGTGCTTGAGACCATGTAGACCTTTGAGACTGTAGGGAGAGGGAAGAACAGGACATGCAAGACGACCTGAGCCGCATATTACTAACCAAAAAAAATAACTCAATACGGAGCAGTGAGTTAAACGCATCAAGAGGTGACAAAAGCAGTCTCGAAAAAACAGTAGAAGTTAGCGATACGTTTGCAAGAGCACCATTTCCTAAACTAAGAACGCGTGAGATCACGAACACGGAGATAGTGAGAATGCCTAAAAGAATAGGAGCTTGTTCTACTATCAAATACATGCATAGGAAGACTCTAGCAGCAGCAACTGGACTTCAACAATCCAACTTTGTTTCACAGAGAAGGGAACCGCTAAGAAACCCGTTGTTCTCGTCCAGAAGCTACTTCTCTTCAGAGGAGGACTCCAAAAGAATCTTCGTTGAGTTCTCTTTGTAGAACATGCATTACCGCCAACATGCAAAGCGCATGGGCAGCATGGCTGGCACTTAAACATCTGCAGAAAAGCACGACCAGGAGTACGCTTTAACGCGGTTTGCCTTCCCACCGCCTTGGAGGTGGGTGGAAGTATTTAACCAGTAAACTTAATAAGGGGCCGAGAGGGAGGGAAGTCTTCCGAAGTGTCGTGCCCCTCCCTCCTCCCCCCAGAAACTGGAACAGTTTGGACCGATACTTAGATTTTCATCCCTAATTAACCTACTTAAAGGTTTCTCAGTACTAATTTCGGTTCTACACTTGACTGTGCAGAGGCTGGGTTTTGTGCCAAACGCTGCCAGCGGGACCCGAATCCAAATTGCGCTAAACCCAGCGTATGGTTGGCTGCAAGAAACAAAATCTCCATGAAAGGCCCACGGTTTTCACTTACGATCCTTAGTGGGGTTTCGTTTCCTCCACTGTGTCCAAATCCACCAGCCCAGCAGTGTCGCCGTTTCGTTTCCGTTCAGGATCTTCCATGAGCCTCTGAAGGAATAATAACAAAAACAACCTACAGAGTCTCATAGTGTCTGCTATATCAATTAGCAGTGAATGTCTAAGGTGATGCACTGCGCAGCGCAAACGGTGCATTCGCCGCCACCTTGTTGACAGACGAAAAAAAACGAACTTTTGGCGTTCGGCTACGGAATGCAAATAATTTGTCAGCGACAAGTGTCAAGGTTACCAAATAGCACACGCCAGCAGTACAGATATAGTTTACGCAATACTGTTAACAAGTTCTAGTTGTTTACAGGTGAGTGCAAACATGGAGAGGCGGGGGGCGGGACTCCGTACCCTGCTGGTGAGGCCCATTAAACATGTGTACGAGTAGTGTCGGTGCAAGGGGAGGGCGGCGTGCACACAGTAAATTAACAATTAAAGCGAGGGTGGTACCAGTTCGCAGAGCCAAATGTAACACACAGAAAAGGACCGCCTATTAGCAGTACCACCCAGACCCCCATTGACGTCATTAAGACTTGCGGGACAGTCTAGTATAATGGAAAATACCCAACTTGCACCGACAGAGCATGGCAGAGGGGGGAGGCACTAACGCACCGTGGTTTGATTAACAGATTATAGCCCATTTGCCAAAGCTCGTCTGCAGACTAACCGCGTTGTGCACGTGCGCATGTTTGCATGTTTCTAGCCCCAGGTGGTGATCAGAATTAAGGCAGAAATAATTCAATATCAACTAACCCC